GAAGGTATCAGACAGGAGGAAGCCTGGCTGGCGCCATCCTGGGTTCAGAGGAAGGGTGAGCAGGACCCCCTAGAGAATGGGGATCCTGAACAGGGTGTTTGAAATGCAGATACTGGGCTGCACCTGGGAGATTGTGGAAGATTTGTCAGGTAGAAGGGGGCAGGGCAGGATGCGAATACCGGGCTGCCCCTGAAACATTGTCAGGATGACTCTGAGATGCAGATGCATATGCTGAACATAGATGTCTTCTCTTTAGGCCTATATGTCACACACACATAAGCTCATAACTGACATCCTACCTAACACCACCACTGTACTTTTTTTTTTTTTAAGATTTATTTATTTATTTGAAAAGCAGAGTTAGAGAGAGGGATGATGCCGACATTGCAGGCAGCGGCTTAACCCATTAGGCTGCAATGCTGGCCCCAACCTCTGTGCTTTAACAGTGACTTTTGTTTGATGCATCTTCTTGGAAAAGTTACTCCAAAATACTGACTTGCAGGAAGTTTTAGCCTAATTATGGCTGAGATTGAAGCTATATTCTCCACTTTAGATCAAGTGTTTTTGATGACTCCAAGTCCTGCTTATAATTTTGCCAGGTTTTTTTGGCAGTCAATGTTCGGTTGTAGATAACAAAAAAAATTATAGCTCTTATAAGCAGAAAATGACTTTTAAGATTTTATCATTTGAAAGGCAGACAGATATGTTAGCGGAGATTGTGTGGGCTTCTTGTCTTCACACAAAAAAGAATTCAGGCATGAGATTACAGCAGTGTTAAGCAAGGTAGTAAGGTTTATTGGGGTAGGGCATCCTCAGAACGGATGGGACAGAATCCAAGAGCGAGCATGAGAGTGAGCAAGCGAGTGAGCCCTGCCATTCAGACTGGGGAAACCAAGGTTACATGGTTAAATCGAGAGAATCACCTGGTAGGCCAGGTGGGTGGCTCAGCTGAGAGCTGAGAGCTGAGCATCTGCAGTCTGTTCCGACTGGGGCTTATAAGGGAAAGGGGTTCAGTTCTTCCTGCCTTTTCTCCTTTCCTTCCTTCTCTTCCTCCTCTTGGACAGAGTTTGCTGAGTGTAAATTAGGAAAATTCCTCCCCCAGTTCTGGCACCCCAGGAAGGGGAGCCTCCCTTATGTTGCCTGTCTTGGAGGAAGAATGTAATGGATGTATTGCTCCATGTTATCAAGCCAGATATCCCATTAATTGAGGAGGAGGGAGGATTCTCCTGGGGAGTTCCCTGGGGGAAGCGCTGAGACCACCTGGAAAGTTATCAAGGTCTGGGCGGGACTTTGCAGTGTGAAACACTGGGCTGCTTCTCAGGCTGTTGCATTCTTGTCTGAAGAAGCTTGTTCTCCTCAGGCCCCTCTCACACACACAGGCCAACTTCTAGCTTCTTACCTAACAGATTTACAGAGGTCTTCCATTTGGTGGTTGCCTTTCCAAATGCCAGCCACAACAGAGGCTGGGCCAGTCCAAAACCCAGGGGTCCAGAACTCAATTAAGGCCTCCCACATGGGTGATAGGGACCCAAGTGATATAGGAAGTGACCCCCTAAAACAAATACGAAAAATGTGGTCCCTTAAGTTCCCCAAAAGTCCCATCTGGATGTTACCAGAATTTGGGGTGCCATAAGATATCACCATATGCTTGTTAATAAATCCCCAATATTAATAAGCCCGAGAGGGTTCTTGCCTAATATTTAGAGAAGAATTCTAAATACCGGCATAAATAAATGAGGCAGCATGTTACATTTTAGGCTTTTATTTAGTGCAAAAGATGCATAGGAGAGTGAGAGCTTTATTTAAGAGATAGAGGTAAATCATACTGAGTGCCAGGCACCAGCCACATGGAGGAGCATGTAGGCCAGGAAGCCTAGGGTGGGTGGTCCGAAGGCTATGCGCCCTTAGAGGTGCAGGGCTACAGCCAGCCCCCTCCTGGCTAGAGGCTAGGGTGAAGAAGAGAAGGCAGACACACAGTGTCCCAGGCTTTTAACCCACTTCCAAAGGGGAGTGGTTAAATAACCTGATTAGCTGGTGGGCACCCAGGTGTGGCCAGGTAGGGGCATGAGGTCATACAGGGGCATGATGAAGGTATCAGGTAGGGCGTGAGGTCACACAGGGGTGTGGCGAAGGCATAGTCTTCCAGCTCACAAACCTAGTCAATTTTAACCTTTATGTCTGCCTACTTCACTAGTACTTGAACCATTACCTGCTGTCTCCAAGAATGTGCATCAGCAGGAAGCTGGAATCAGGAGCTGAGCTGGGATTCTAATCCAGGCACTTCTGTATGCCATGTGACCAGCCTGTGTGTGGTCTCTTAACCTCCGCACCAAATGCCTGTCCTGGAAGATGTTTTTGTTTTGTTTTGTTTTATCACAAATTAGGGGATTAAAAAATCATTGTAAAGACTGAAATGACAAGCATTTGGTTGGCTCCTAGAACAGTGTGCAGAACTGGCTTGCTGAGGGAGCTGCAGTCTGTCACAGGAAGTCGGGAGCACTGACTGCGAAGACGCTGCTGGCAGGATGGAAGTTCCTCCCTTTCCCCAGCCCCTTCTCTTAGCACTGCCGCAGAAACGCTTTTAGCACTGCCCCCAGAGCCTCCAAGCAAGCAAAATCCTGTAGACTGAATAGACTTCTTGCAAGTAAAAGAAGAAAATCATAGAAGTGGCAGAATTATGGAGTCTACTATAGTTTCACCTCCAAAATGTCATGCAGTGTGTGTGAAAGTTGAAGAAAACAAGGTCATGTGTGGAATATGAGTTACAAGGTGGTCTAGGAGATGTAGTTTTTAGCTTTACAATTTCTAGGCACAGTAAAACACTGTAAGGGATCAGAGTGCGGTCAAGGAAGACAACCTACAGTATTTGCCAACATCTGATGCTGAGAGACTGAGAGACATGCTGTTTTTATTGTCACCTAAACCCCAAACAATGATAAGGGCATGGATGCTCTTAGAAGCAATTTAATGTAACTTCTCCTTTAGGTAGCATCCATTTTTCTATGTGGCTTCCATATTTAGGACAGACACATAAAATACATAGAGTGGATGGTTTAGACATTTTCTAATGTCCAAGAAAAAAAATTATATTTAGAATACTTATGAACAAGCTTAAAAACAGCAAGGTGGTTAAATTGTAAACATTAGGTAAGACAGCTTAAATATATTTCCTTTCAGAAGAATAAAATGTGCACTTAAATATCCTAACATATTTATGTAAATATCCTAATATGTGTTCATTTTCCATTGCTGTTGTAGTCTGTTGCCAAAAACTTGATAGTTTTAAAACAATACAGTTGATGATGTTACAGTTCTGTTAGGACAGAAATCTGGCAGGCTGCCCAGGGTTTCTGCTCTGTGCTTCACAAGGTTAAAGTGAAGGTTCCAGCAAGGCTGTGTTCTTATCTGGAGCCTTTGGAGGAGGACCTGTTCACTGATGCTCATTGATATTGCTGGCAGAATTTAATTCCTTGTGGTCTTAGGGCACACCCTCAGTACCTTCTTGGCTATCACCTGAGTACTCTTCTAGGCACTGCCTACTTTCCTTGGTTCATGGCCCCTCCCCTATCTTCAAAGCCAGCAGTTATGGGTGGAGTCCCCAGATGCTTCAAATCTTTCCTGCCTTCTTCCCCATGACATCTCTCTAATACTGTCTAATACAAGCTGGGGAAGATTCTTTAGGTTGAGAGCTCATGGGATTGAATTAGTTCATTCAGATAAGTCAGGAAGTTCCCCTACTTCAAGGTCCATGGCCCTTCATTGTACTTACAAAGTCCCTTTGTCATATAATGCAGCGTGTTCACAGGCTCCAAGGATTATGGCATCAACAATCTTGGTGGATCCATAATTCTACCCTACTGCAACTATCAAGTTGATCAGTGCGTTTGTCTCATTATTAGTTATGTGACAGTATCCTGGTAATCATTGACTAATATATTATTTTTGGTTACTGTAATAGTATCCTTATGAATGATATTAGACCTAAGCAGCAAAACTGAGCTATCTTCCTTTCATGTAAACTACACTAGTAGCCAGAAGTTTATTGGTATTGAAATTCCAAACCTTAGGTTTTCTTTCATTATACTAGGATATTTAAGAAAAATTGAGTAAAACTTGAAAGACATTAAACAAAGAAGTTTATATTTGAGAATAAGTTATATTTTCCTTCCACCAAAAAATAGACATGATCTTTGTCATTTCATTTAAAAGACTACTAATGTACTGCCACTTTCTCCTCCCAGAATCCCTTGGGTTAGTAAATTGATAACTAGGATGTTTACTGATTGCTGCAAGAATGGCAGTGGGTTCTGCATCATAAGCTTTTTAAACACTATTAATAATCCACTTGATTGCATGAAAAACACTGCCTTTTAACAGTGAGGTGGATTGTCTGAATTTTCTGCTTTTGTCTGGGCCATAGTATCATTATTCAAATGGATAATTTATTTCTTAATGTAAATAATAAAAGACTTTAATTTATTGTTGAGGAAACAAACGTGAGTATCTCATTGTTAGTATATTAGATTGATGAAAAGTAAAGAGCTTCTTACTTGCTTTATAAATATTCTGAAAGGGATTATTTGACTAATATGACTTCCCCCCTGAATGATTCAGGAAGGAACGATAAGCAGGGATGTTTTATTTCTCACTTATTCCACTACTAGTGAAGATTAATTTTAAATTTATCTGTCTTCCTGTCTAATATGTGATGGCTTTAAGGGGTGGGGAAAGACAGCTCTCAGACTGAGTAAGGCCTGTGAAGTCATTTGGTTTGACTGTGCCAAGGCAGGCACAGGTGGGCCTTAAAATTCAATAAACCTATAGCAGGCTAATTTTTAAGTTGATAATAATTTTGTATGGCCTGTGAATGATGTTACAGATATCCAGATGGCCCTTGGCAGAAATAGATTTACCACCCCTGCAAGTTAAGCAGTCACTTGTCACTCTGTTCTTAGGACAGTGCAGCTTTTTACTCTGGATTATTATTATGTTTTAAATAGGATGAAGCGAGTGTTCCTGACAGCAGTTCAGCTGACCTATTACACTGGACCACTGCTACCACCATGAAAGTCCTTTCCAACACCACGACCACCACCAAGGCTATGCTGCAGGCTGTTAGCGATGGGCAGTGGTGGAAGAAGTCTCTAGCTTACCTTCGGCCCCTCCAGGTAAGCCATGTAGCTTTCTGATAAAATCAGTTGTGTGATTTATACCAATTTTTAGCATTGCTCTTCATTGTTGCACCATTATCTTCTGTAGATCTTTAAAATAATCTCTTAAATATAGGGACCCTATCGGTAGAAAATGAATAATTTATTCTCATAGAATGTAATGTAAGTCATGGAGAACTTGTGATGGACACTATGTATATTTAGGTTATAAGTGTTGACATTTTTGCTATATATGAGAGAATGTCAAAGGTTTGTAAAACAATGGGTTAAAAGAAATTTATTTTGGGGGCTGGTGCTGTGGCACAGAGGGTTAAAGCCTTGTCCTGCAGTGCCAGCATCCCATATAGGTGCCAGTTCAAGTCCTGGCTGCTCCACTTCTGATCCAGCTCTCTGCTATGGCCTGGGAAAGCAGTGGGAGATGGCTCAAGTCCTTGAGCCCCTGCACCCGTGTGGGAGACCTGGAAGAAGCTTCTGACTCCTGGCTTTGGATTGGCACAGCCCTGGCTGTTAAAGCCATTTGGGGACTGAAGCAGCAGATGGAAGATCAGTCAATCTCTCTCTCTCTCTCTCTCTCTCTCTCTCTCTCTCACTCTGCCTTTCAAGTAAATAAATTTAAAAGAAATTTATTTTGGTACAAAAAAATGTTGAAATCCATGCGTAGTGTTTTCATAGTACTTATTTTTCATGTACTGTTTGAAGATCCCTCTTTTGTCTACACAAAAGTTGAGGGAGAGTGTTAGGAGCCAGCCTGGGCACTCTGAAGAAAGAACAGTTTAACAGATTCCTGCTTTCATACTGTATGTAAAGGTCAGAACAAGCAGGAGAGAAAATGATTTCTTAGCCCGTAGTTCCCTGCTTTTTTCTCTGCATTCTCGTGTTGCAGTCCTTTGGTCTCATAATGGAAAATACAGAAGGAAAAGAAACATGCCTGTTGATCAGTTTATAGTTTGCTGCAAGTGATCATGGCGTGTCTTCTTTGATTCATTCAACACATACTGATTCGGCATCTCCCCTGTGTTAAGGATCATGCTCATCCCTGAGGACAGAGTGGAGAGGAGCTTTGCATAATTTCCTTCCTTTCTGGAACTTACATTGCAGATGGGAGCACAAAGGAAACAAAACGTGTGTGTGCTTTCGGGCTGGCGGGTGGTGATGAGTCCGTGCTGATGATGATACAAGGAAAGTGACTCATGAATGCTACTTGGGATTTGGAGAAGGAGGTGAAGGTTAACATAAAGGAATCCCTTGAAGCAGAAGTAGCATTGAGGAAAGAGAACAAACTACAAGGCTTACGGGGAGAACATGTGCACCATCTTCCTGGAGGATAAAGGGGGCCACTGTTGTTTGTACAGAGTGAATAGTAGGGGAGAATGGCGGGACATGAAATCTGAGGGCTGGTGGAGATGCAGGCGCTGAGAGCCTTACACGAACTGTAATAACCACTGTGGATTTTGAAGCATTTAGGCAGTGAATTTATATAATCCAACTATACTTTTTTTTAAGGATTTATTATTTATTTATTTGAAAAGTAGAGTTAGGGAGAGACAGAGAGAGAGAAAGGGAAGGATCTTTCATCTGCTGGTTCAAACCCCACATGGCTACAATGGCCAGAGCTGGGCCAGACTGAAACCAGGAATCTGGATTTTCATCCAGGTCTCACATGTTGATGCAGGGCTTCAAGGACTTGGACCATCCTCTGCTGTTTCCCCAGGCACATTCACAGGGAGCTGGATTGTAAGCGGAGCAGCTGGGACTTGAACTGGTGTCCATATGGGATGCTGGTTTGTAAGTAGCGGCTTAACCCCCGGTGGTACCAAACCGGGCCCCCAACTTTACTTTTAATAGCATGATTCAGCTGCCATGTGGAGAACTGGCTTTATGGAGTCAGAAGTCAGGGTACAAGGCAGTGTGATCTCTGATCTAACATTCCAGATGAGAGATGGTGGTGGTTTGGACCAGCATAACTGTGAAGAAAGTGAGAAATGGTTGGTTTGGGAATGTATTTTATGGATCTGCTGATGGTTTGGATTTGGGACACGTAAGAAAGAAGGGACCTAAGAGTAATGGTCCAAACAGTTGGGTGAATGGAGATGTCAGTTTCTTAGATGCTGTGCTCTGGGGAATGTCTGTATGTTTATTGCGTGTATCACACTGGATCACTTGTTTGTATTTTTTTACTGTCTTATCTGATGTTTTGAGGATGTGTGTCTTAGGTAGAATTTTGAACATTGTGCATGATCTTCATTTGCAGCAGTGACTTCACTATTTGCTTAACCTTTGCTTGCTATAAATTAGTGCCCCGGAAACTGAGGAGAAATGGGTGATTTTTATTTGGCTTTTAGGGAGGAGTCTTACAGTCACTTCAGAAGGGTAAAAGATAAAGATAATTACTGTGTGTGGGACACCAAAGTATTTGTTAGTCAGGAATGCTTATAGCAAATCTTAAAGGCATGTGTAAGGGTCCCAGTGGTGCAGAATATGGGGACAGCAAAAGGGGTACAGTTAGATCATCTTGCTTCAGTATGGCAAGGAATTAGCAGGTAAAGTCTGAGTTGGTCCTGGATGGAAAGGTAGAATCTAACCAGGTAGTCGGTATGACAGAATCGTGAGAGAAAGGCATAGAAGCTGGCAGGAAGATGAAGTATGTAAGCTTGGTTGGAGTGGAGAATGTTAGCTCACACATAGTAACATTAACACAACATTTGTCATAGTTTATAGTATTGGCTGTTCAGAACTACTAGAGATTTTTGAGCAGGGGAACAATACATACACCATGATATTTTAGGAGAGTTCCTTTGTGGCATGTAAAGCTCACTATGCACATGAAACATTGCTTCAGTGTTTCAAATTCATTGATGTCAAAGTGACTGGGAAAATCAAAAGGCTACACAGGGCAGGGCAGGGTTGTTCTTATGCTCATTGCTGGTATCCATGTCACTCTTGACACACTCTATGTCACAGAAATCTATCTATCTATATAAAATATACATAATTATATATATAAATATAAATATGTATAATATAAAGATTTTATTTATATATTTGAGGGTCAGAGCTATAGACAGAGAGAAATAGAGACAGAGAGAGAGGTCTTCCACTCCCCGATTCACTCCCCAAATGACTAAGATGGGCAGCGCTGGGTGGATCTGAGACAGGAGCCAGGAGCCTCCTCCAGGTGTCTCACATGGGTACAGGGGCCCAAGCGCTTGGGCCATCTTCCACTGCCTTCCCAGGGCACAGTCAGAGAGCTGGATAGGAAGAGGAGCGGCTGGGACACGAACCGGCACCCATATAGGATGCTGGTGCACAGCAGAGGTTTAGCCCACTGTGCCTGCTGGGCCTCAGCGCTGGCCCGTGGAATCTGTCTTCCCTCTCTTGTCCCTGCCTCCGCTCTGGTCCTCTCCCTTTCCGTGCTCTTTTGTTTTTATTTACTGTTCTTCACTTTGTTCTGTTTAGGGACAAGAATTTGGTGGTGCCTATCAAATTGGAACTGTGGCCAATGAAGACCTAGAAAAACAAGGGTGTCATCCTTTTTATGAGTCAGTCATCTCCAATCCCTTTGTCTCTGAGGTAAGGACAGTGTGCCTAAGCAAATAGGTTTTTCTGTTATGCTGTATAGACAGCATAGACAAACATCAGAATTTTCCTGAAAATGTATTTCTTTTGGTTCTTAACTCACGTTATTCATTGGTTTTACATTTTCTTCATATATATTATGACATTATGAAATTAAAATTCATTTAAAATTTTCTATAAAGTAATATGTCTTAGTAACTGAGAAATTGTTATTAAGTCACAGAAGACAGAGTTCAGTATTTCTGTTTTCTAAGAGTATGTTAGCTGGAACAACAACAACAAGCTTATACCGTGCTAAGTAGAGAAACTGCTTTTTTATCTAGTCCGGAGTGACCTATGATGCCTATCAGCACATCCCAGATGAAAGTTTTGCAGAAATATTGCTGAGAACTGGTAAATTGGCAGAGGGGAAAACTGAAGGAGAAGTCTTTCCAACTACAGAAGGTAAGAAAGAAGGCTGTACTCATGTTAAAAGAATTATAACTGGCCGGCGCCGCGGCTCACTAGGCTAATCCTCCGATTTGCGGCGCCGGCACACCGGGTTCTAGTCCCGGTCGGGGTGCCTGATTCTGTCCCGGTTGCCCCTCTTCCAGGCCAGCTCTCTGCTGTGGCCAGGGAGTGCAGTGGAGGATGGCCCAAGTGCTTGGGCCCTGCACCCCATGGGAGACCAGGAGAAGCACCTGGCTCCTGCCATCGGATCAGCGTGGTGCGCTGGCCGCGGCGCGCTGGCTGCGGCAGCCATTGGAGGGTGAACCAACGGCAAAAGGAAGACCTTTCTCTCTCTCTCTCACTGTCCACTCTGCCTGTCAAAAAAAAAAAAAAAAAAGAATTATAACTAAGATTGTATGAAAGGGGTGGGCATTTAGCCTAACAGTTAAGGTACTAGTTAGGATGCCTGAATTCCATGCTGGGTTCAGTTCGCAGCTTCAGCTCCTGATCCCAGTTTCCTGCTAATGTGGATTCTGGGAGGCAGCTTTGATGGCCCAGGAAGTTAGGTTTCTTCTACCCATGTGGGAGACTTGAGGTGTGTTCTTGGCTGCTGTCTTCTACCTGACCCAGCCCCGGCCATTGTGGACATTTAAGGAGTAAACTAGCAGGTGGGAGCTTTCTCTCTCAAATAGGTAAATAAAATACTAAAAAAGAAGAAAATGTATGAATGAGTGAGTTAGAGAAAAAGTAATGAAATTTTCAGTAAGTTTGAATAATCTAACTGGATGCCTTCATTCATTCATTCTTACATTCATTCGTCTACCTCCTCAAATTATTTGAATACTTTTGGGAAATCCTGCAAGATGTTGGCATAGGCAAACAGTTCATGGGAAAGACCTCAGAAGCACAGGCAATCGAAGCCAAAATTGAAAAATGGGATTACATCAAATTGAGAAGCTTCTACACTGCAAAAGAAACACTCAGCAAAGTGAAGAGGCAACTGACAGAGTTGCAGAAATTATTTGCAAACTATGAAACTGATAAATGATTAATATCCAGTATCTATAAATAGCTCAAGAAATTCAGCAACAATAAAACAAACAACCCAGTTAAGAAATGTGCAAAGGGTTTAAACAGGCATTTTTCAAAAGAGGAAATCCAAATGGCCAACAGACACATGCAGAAATGCTCAGGATCATTAACCATCAGGGAATGCAAATCAAAACCACAATGAGGTTTCATGTCACCCATTAGAATGGCTCTCATACAGAAATTAACAAATAAAAAATGCTGGTGAAAATGTGAAGAAAAAAGGTACCCTAATCCACTGTTGGTGGGAATGTAAACTGGTACAGCCACTATGTAAGACAATATGGAGATAGATCAGAAATATGAATATAGGCCTACCATATGACCCAGCCATCCCACTCCTGGGAATTTACTCAAGGGTAATGAAGTCAGCATTTGAGAGAGTTATCTATACCCCCATATTTATTGCAGCTCAATTCTAAATAGCTAAGATATGGAATCAACACAAATGTCTGTTAACTGAAGATTGGATAAAGAAATATGGGATATGTAGACAATGAGAAACCAGGAAGTGGTAAAAAGAAATGAAATCCAGTCATTTGCAACAAAATGGAGTACTCTTTAAAACATCATATGTAGTGAAATAAGCCAGTCCCTGTCTCTCCCCCTCTTCGTGGAGGAACGACACAGGACCCTGCGTTGTTCTTTTGTCTGCTCGGCCCTCCCCGGGTTTGCTGCTGGTTCTTCCCGGGTTGGCTACCGTCCCTTCCACCTCCGTGGAAGGGCGGTTCCCCCTGCCACTTTCCCCACTTCCGCGGGGGAGCGGCACACCGCTGGCCGGCTCTCTCGGGGGCTGCACAGGTGTTCCTTCAGATAGATGTTCCTGGTGCATGTTGTCTCTCTCCTCCTTTATAGTCCTCTTCCACCAATCCCAACTCTGCTACCCACATGCCGAGTACGCTGCTCTCCTCCAATCAGGAGCAGCTCCTGCAGCTTGTCAAGTTGGTGAGAGGCAGCTGTGTAGAAGCTGTTTCCTCCTCTCCCAGCGCCATATTGTGGGAGAGCAGATGCATAGAATAAGTCTTAATTCCAGTAACTTAGTCTAGTCCGAGCTGCTCCCAGTTGCTCCCCACAAGTCCCAAAAGGCAAATACTGTATGTTCTCCCTGGTGTGTGATAACTAATAGAGCACCTAAAAGGTAATCTATAGAAATGAAATGGACACACGATGTGATGACTTTGAACAGCCCTTGTCTTGACTGTTGAGGAACATTTTTTTTTCCCCATACTATTTATTGAACTCTTTACTTAGTTTGGAGTTACTTTTATGTGTATAAAGTTAATTGAAAGTAGATCTTAGTAACAAATAAGAATGGGAATTGGAAAGGGAGGAAGAAAGAGGATGGGAGTCCCAGTGGGAGGGTGGGTAGAGTGGGAAGAATTACCCTGTTCATAAAGTTGGATTTAGAAATGCATGAAGTTTGTACACCTTAAATAAAAGGTTCCTGGGGAAAAATAAAATAAGATATGATTCGTATCTTCAAGTTGCTAATTATGTGAAGTAGTTTTTGTGTTGAATGGTATAAAGTGCTTTCCTGCTTTTATTCTCCATACAATGTAGGTCTATATTTGAACATGACAGTTTCTTACATGGTGGCATATTTTTCTGTAAATAATTTTTTAAAAAGAAATAAATGTATTCAAGTTTACCCAAGACAGCCTGACATTTATACTTTTTTTTCTTCCCCCTTTTTACTTATTTTCACAATTCTATAGTAGGATTCTTCATTCTTTTACCTGCATCTCTCTCTCGGCTCTTAATGAACATCCAGTGATTCAGAGGCAGCTCCAGGTAATTTGTCCATGCTCTAGGCAACGGTAGGGAGGAAAGGAGGGGGAGAAACAGTTTTCTTGGAATTTCCATCTATAACTTCAACTTAGTACTGGCCATTGTTATTATCAGTATGCCTGGACAGTGCTATCTGCTAATTAAGCACATTGCTGTGTGGCGTGAAATTTAGGAAGTGCACTTAAGGCATAGAATTGCCGTTTCATTCCCAAACCTGATACCTTAATTTTTACAGAATTCCTTTCTTTCTGTCAATTTTTATATGCAATTGGGAAGAAGAGAGGCAGATGATAATTTCCTGTACATTATGCAGGTCCCTGACATATTGGGAATTTTTTCTAGGAGCATTATTTTTTTTTTTCACTTTTGTGGTGCATGCTTTTCTATATTTGTCATTCTCTAATAAAAGAGACTTTTATCTCACAGTTACCAACATATTTATGTTTCCTTTTTTTTTCCAAAAAGCTGTTAACTCCATGGTAGATTTTATAGTTGGTAACATATGTGAAGGATGTTGTGATATTGCTTTCCCTTTGTTTAGTGATTGTGTCTGCCTTTTTTCTTCTCTGCATTCAGTTGCCCATGGATTAAACATAATTGTTTATCAGTTTGTACAGACAAAATTGTGACCTTAGGAAAATACTGGGTCAGATGGGAGAGTATCACTTTTTGATTGGCACAATAATCAACTGAAATAATGAGAACATTTGCAAACGTTGGTTTTTACAGTATTTTTATTATTTATCTTATGAAGAATATGTGTATGATTTTTAAAAAATTCACTCAAGAGGTGCGCCTTACAAAGAGGCAAAATAATGGAAACACATAGTTAATGGCCTGAAAGATAGATCCTCTCAAGCTGATTCCTCAGTTTGTTTTGGCTTCTGATATTTACCAGAGCTGTTTTTAGAGAAACATTTCTGCACAAGGCCCTGGCATGGCACATATTTCCAGATTACCAGGCATCCCTTTTTCTTTTTTTATGTAATTTTTATCAGATTCAATATAGTTTGTAGATACAGTTCTAAGAACGTAGTAATAGTCTCTTCCTTCTCTCTCCCTCCTCCCTCCTGCCTTTTCACTTGCTCTCTTTCTCTTCTTTTCTTTCTTTCTCTTTAGATTTTGAGATTACATATTTTTCATTTACATTACCATCGGAGGCTTAATGATTCACCAGATAAGAAGTTTAATAAGTATTAAGCAAGACGATCCTAGTTTAGCGGGAATATAGGAAAGTGCTGTAAAAATAATCAAATGTAAAGATGATCATTTCACATTTATATGGTAAATTTTAAAATAATCACAGATCATTGAAATCATAGTAGTATAGCATTTTTTTTTTTTGGCAGGGGGAGAGAGAGAGAGAAAGAGAGAAAGAGAGAGAGAAAGGCCTTCCTTTTCTGCTGGTTCACCCCCCAATGGCCGCTGCGGTGGGCGCACCATGCTGATCTGAAGCCATGAGCCAGGTGCTTCCTCCTGGTCTCCCATGCGGGTGCAGGGCCCAAGCACTTGGGCTATCCTTCACATCCCTCCTGGGCCACAGCAGAGAGCTGGACTGGAAGAGGAGCAACCGGGACAGAATCCAGCGCCCCGACCGGGACTAGAACCCGGGTGCCGGTGCTGCAGATGGAGGATTAGCCTATTGAGCTGTGGCGCCGGCCAGTAGTATAACATTCTTAAACATTGGTGTGACAAAAGTGTAAAACAAAGATTTATGGGGCCGGTGCTATGGCACAGCAGGTTAAAGCCCTGGCCTGAACTGCTGGCATCCCATATGGGTGCCATTCTAGTCCTGGCTGCTCCTATTCCTATCCAGCTCTCTGCTATGGCCCGGGAAAGCAGTAGAAGAGGGCCCACGTCCTTGGGCCCCTGCACCCACGTGGGAGACCCAGAAGAAGCTCCTGGCTCCTGGCTTCTGGCTTCAGCCTGGCTCAGCCTCAGCCATTAGGACCATCTGAGGAGTGAACCAGCAGATGCAAGTCTCTCTCTTTCTCTGTCTCTCTCTCTGCCTCTGACTCTCCTTCTCTGTCTGTGTAACTCTGACTTTCAAATAAATAAATAAATCTTTTTTTTTTTTTAAAAAAAACAAGTTTTACAAAGCCATGTTTACAACAAAACCTATACACACAGGCATTTCT